TCTGGAAATCAATTCAAATACCCAAGAATGTACCCACTTGAGATGAATCCTTGACGTCACAGACCTTTCTGACTCACGGTGCGATGATGAATGAAGAGCATTTTCTAGCGTCATGATGAAAATAGGGCCAAAATGCAAAGCCATTTACTTTGCTCTCTTAAAAAAAAACAAAACAAAAAAACATCAAGCAAAACATTGTAAACATGTTGGGGGAAAAAAAACAAGCTGAACGGAAAATCTAATTTCATTGCAAATCGGTCACTATTTTGTTTATTCGCTAGGCAGCTTTCGCTGTTTTGTGGTCTCTCCAAAGCTGTTTTGATGGAGTAATCACAGTTTGTACAGACACATGCCCCTACAGTCAATTAGAGAGCTCTAGTAGGAAAATATGCTGCTGACAGATACATTCCCAGCACCTGCCAAAATAATCACAGAGTGCTGGTGTGGCTCACTACAACCTAAACAGATATGTAATTGGCATTTTATCCCGTGAGACCGTCTAACCTTATTTAAAAATACTCACCAAGACATTTTATTAGCTGGTCAGGTATTGGACCGGTGGGTTATTTTTATTTGTTTTGTTTTTAACAACAGTGGTTATAGCAGACTGCATGTGCTTTTGTATATTTACGAAATCTGGGTGTATAACGACACATTCAGTGTACGAGAAGACAACACATTGTAGAGAGCTTAGTGAAGAAAGCCAGATATTTGGAATGTGTTTGGAGAAAATGCTTATGCAACTGAGTGTTTCCAGTCACCTTGGGAGGTAATCTTCATTTGAGGACTTTCTCAACACAAGCAAACACACACAGAAAAAATAATATTCACTTTCTTATTTTAATAAGAGTCTCAGACAAAGGCTCAGGTTATCAGCCACAGTCATGTCATATCCACTCTTAATCAGAGGTACTAAATACTCCAGATCAGGTCAAATACTGAAAGCAGAGATGAATCTTTGCATGATGTTTTCTGAGACCGATTTCATGGGGAAACATGGTTTAGCTCATAGCACAGGATCTTTTTTATAACCTCAGCAAAATTCACCCAGAAAAAAATTCACTCTGTCCTACTGTCACAAAATAATTCCATAATACTGTATATGCATAGTTACACTCAGATGTTTATTACTGAGCACTGCCTGTCAGCTGGCTGAAAAAAAATGCTCCTGAAAGTCATGGTGTGGAAATAAATGGAGTGCTATTTGTGATAAAAATGGGTAAATGGGCTGTATTTGTATTGTGTTTCATAAAGTCCAGAGGATCCCACCGTGGTTAAGTCCATGCTGTTTCAGAACTGCATTTGGCGATCGATTTTAAACAGCACACAGCAAGCTGGCTACATATATTTCTGCCTTGCTATTTAAAATCAGATAGCGTTTTACCTTTTTTGCTTCAAATCTACTTGAATGCACAGACATGGGGGGAAACCGCGCTGCCTGTACAAGGTCAGATGGTTTATTTGCATCTGAAATCGGGCCTCTTCTGACGGCCTGAGATGTGCTTCTATCAAACTCATACAGTGAATGTTTTGTCCACATGTTGCATCTGTCCAGTGCCCACATTGAACTTCATTTTGGGATCCAGGTGGATGTTGTGTTTCTGCTCCAGCTCGGTGCCGCTACAGACTCGAGTGTTGTCCTATATTAAAACTGTGCAAGCAAACGAGATGGGTGTCTTAAAAGTAACCAATCACAACTTGGAGCTCATATTTTCTGCCTATTTCATGCCGTTAAGGAACACAAGTAAAAATCTTTAACGGGACACTGCCAATGCATTATTGTACAACAGGCCTCTGTTTGATCATTCAACCACTAACCACACACAGGTTGTGTGAACACTAATCAAATGCAAGACACAATATCCAATCCCCCTGCATTCCCCACATATACAAATGTGCGTCTCTTGTTTTAGCACCTCATGTCGTACAGAGCGTTTAACTCACAGGCGATGCAATTCGCAGCGACAGCATCATATGCAACTGGAGGCGCGTCGGGTACCAGCCAGTGAATTTACATTTGGGCTGACAGTGGCCTGGCTCCAAGAGTCATGTTGGTGATAGTGTAGTGGCGATGCGGACCCCCTCCAATTCCACCACCTGTCACAGCCGAGGCTTATTGGAAGCTATTAGAATTCATGGAGGAGAGTTTTACCCTTGTGGGTAATGGAGTGGAAGAGACATGCTGATTTGATGCAAATGTCAACAACATCCTATTCTCTTAGCGCGAGAGTAAATTGACACTGTCAATCATATTTGTTTCCATGGCAACTGTAAAGAGTAACTGGAGCTTGTACGCTGAGCGACCCGGATGCTTATCTGCATCGAGACGCAGCTGATGTGATGCTTGCTTTCGTAACGTCCAGGGTCCCCAAAACAACAACAACAAAAAAAGAAAGATTAACAAAGACGGCAATGAAAACTTGCTAAAACTTGTCTAAATATGAAAATGTTTTATTCCAACTACACATAGATAGATTGTTTCAACTTCAACATGAGGAAAAAGAACACCTCAGCGACACGCTGCAGTTTGTTCACATTTTCTGAAATACATTTACAGTTTCTATTGAAGAGGAACAACGCACTCCTTTTGTGGTCCGGTGAGAAAAGAAAGCTAAAGGCAACATTTAACAATGGATTCAGCTCCAATAATTACAGAATTTTGAGGTTTAGCAAACGTCACACAAATTAGACGTTCTGCCTAAATGATTGTTTGGTATTAAAACTAAAACACAAACGAAAAGTCGCATTAGATACGCTACTTTTATTTGTATTTTTTTATATATATAATAATTTAGGTAATGTAAAAATGTAAATGTAAAAATTAGGTAATGTAAAAACATTTTTAATTTTTTTCGACAAACGTGTCCATGATATGAACATGCTTTGCCCTGAGAAGTGTTACTTCTTGTCCCATATTTCTAATTATGTAATCACATCCCTAAACATGGGTTTGTTCAGACATACGGTGTCTCTTATGTCCCCCATGCGAACCCTTTGGGTTTTGCTATGTAGAGCACCAAATGAGATAATGTCTCGTGTGGAGAGGATAAGCCTGGGAGAAGAGAGCAACACAACACATTTCAAGAGAGGGCGCTGCTGAAATTTGTTTTGGGTCTGTGATACTCTGTTTCTCTTCTCCAGTAGGGAGTAAAATGTATTATCCATCCTGAGTACAAATATGAAAAGATGTTTAATTCAAAACTAAATAAACAAATACTGTAATCAAAAAAAAAAAAATCATAAATACTCCAGCAAATATCTCCATGAAATAAAAATAAAACATGAAATAAAAGCACAAATTAGAATATCAGCAATATATCTATTTTTAAATAGGAAGGTTATTTTGTCAATCACAGTTTTATTTATTTATGAAGACTAATAACTGTGTTTTTTGAGTCTCACTTTTAAGTATGTAATGCTAATTTACGTATTTCAAGGACTTTTACTTTTAACTCTGATTTTATTTTACGCTGTTTTCGAAATAAATGTGTCACAAAATAGCACACCATTATGAATGAATGAATGAAACACGTAAAATAAATGCACAAATAAATCCTGAAATAAATGTTAATGTTGAATGAAATGGCTCTGCTTATACAAATTGTATATTCAGACATTTGAAATAATCTACAAAAAAATCTGCTTGCAAACTGCAGAATAAGCTGCTCCTGTCATGAAAATATTCATTTAAAAAATGGAAAGTTGCAGATATTTGGATAAATTCTTTATTCAGCTAATGTAATCAGTTATTATGGTTTAGAATAAATAGAAAAGCCCATGGACTTTTTTGTATTTTCACTTCAAAACCAACGTGAAATAATTATCTGTAATGCTTTAACCTCATAGTAGCAAAAAAAACATCTACATACTTGTACAGTTTTTTTGGTGCTACTTTTCAAATCATTCACATTTTTAAGGATATCCTTGAGTTAAGATTTATTTTGTAAGCTGTGAAAAAGGCCAGTAGTTTAAATTTCTTAATGTTTTGATGCTAAAACACTTTTAATCTGATCACAATATCCTCCTGAAATCAGGACATTTACAAAAAGGCTCCTATTTGCAGGATAGTCTTTATTTTTGCAATAGATTCACGTTTGCAGTTTTCAGCAGTACTAAGCAGACTGAAAATGATGATGAACTTGGTTTATTTGCTTGCGTCTCTGGAGACCCTGGACCAGAATAGCCAGTAATGAGTTCAGTTCTTTGCGTTGGAATTGGAAAGAAATGTGAATTTAGAGTACAAGCAGACTTTTGACCTTTTTTCTGGTGCACATGAGGAGATGCAGACTTAATACTCTACTGTTTATCTGTGCCTATAGATTTGCTTTTGTGCATTCCCACATGCTGTTGTTCAACAACATACAAACAGTATAATTGAGTATGTCCATATAGTCACGCACGCATTTCCCAGAGAACATATGCTCATTTTAATTTGCATATTTGTGCATATTGTGTGTTAGTAGCAAGCGAGAGGACAATGTCTGCTATGACGCAACAGGCAGCTAATCTTCCCCATATGTAAATGCTAGACTGCTATTCAAGCAACATGCAGATGGGTTTTGGAGCTTAGGTTTTTGGTAGGATAGTGTTATAGGAAGAAATATCTAAGAAGATGTTCTGTCAAGCATTTTGGTGATTAATAGACCGCGTTGTCTCTGACAAATGTTCTCTCTGTGCTGATGAAATATGGGCACTAGCTTAGATTCCATTGTACTTATCAGCAAAGGTTTGATGTTAATGTGTTGGTGTCAAGGACCAAATAAGGATGAAAATGTGGCAGAAATAAAGGCTAAGAGCAGGTTTTGTTTTTAAAATTAAATTGTGTGTTTAAACTGTATTATTCGGCGTCGCAAAGTTGAATGTGGTGGAGTTTTATCGTTTTCATCCCACAAAAATCTGTTCTTTTTTCCACAGTAAATACATATAGAAATTGACTTGCATAAAAATTCATAGTGCGCATATGTATTAATACATTTCTTGTGTTATGTTTTCCTCTGTAGATCACTCCGAGGTCCCACGCCACTGCGTTACACAGACGTCAAGTCTTCAGTGAGAGCATGAGGACAAGTTGCTTCCCTTCAAATTGTAGCTCAAGAAATTATGACATAACAAGGATCTGCTGCTCATCACCATAATGCTGAGACAGGCATTCTAAATCCCTCACTCCTTCTTCAGCACCCAGCCCAGACCCGTTTCTTTTTTGTTTTTTGGAAGTTTTTCCTGGTTTTCCTTATCCTATAATCAAATCCTTCTTCGTCTTTGCCCTGATTATAACCTTTGCACTCTACCTTTTTTTTCTTTTCATTGACATCATGCTGCGTGCTTCCACTCTTTCAGTTCTCCTCCCTCTTACACTTTTTTCGCTCCTCTTCTTTTCCTGGTTTCCCAACATGGCCAACGGGGACTGCTGGCTCATTGAAGGAGACAAAGGCTACGTTTGGCTAGCTATATGCAGTCAGAACCAGCCTCCCTATGAGACTATCCCCCAGCACATCAACAACACAGTCCATGACTTGAGGCTGAACGAAAACAAGCTGAAAGCCGTGCTTTTCAGTTCCATGTACCGCTTCACGAACTTGACCGACCTCAACTTAACCAAGAATGAAATCAGCTATATTGAGGACGGCGCTTTTGCAGGACAAGCCAATTTACAGGTGAT